CCCCAAAACCCCAAAACCCCAAAACCCCGTAATTCATATTAATGGCAAACTTTATTTTTTTTAAATTCTTAAATAATTAAATAGGTATAAAATTTTAAAGTTCATTAATTATCTTCATTTTCATCATCATTTTCTTCATTACCATAATTAGTCTATCCATTATCTTATTATTGCTAGCTTCCCTATTCATCTGCATCATCTTCATCCTATTCCATAATAAATTTGTTGTGGATTTCTTCTTGAGTTTGTTCAAAATCATTTTCATAGTTTGTCGTGTCTGCTCTTTAATTCAAGTCATCTGAAAATTTCTATTATTGCAGCTATAGCGACTCCTTGCTAATTGCTTTGAATTGAGATATATCGTGGTTATTTCTAGCTTTACTCTCCTCAACCTTCTCTATTTAATCTATATTAAGGATAGAGCTCTATTTCATCTTTTACTCTATTGTTTACTCATCTAGCTAATCTTTTCCTTCATTTGCATTATTTTAGAACTAAGCTCCTAATTAGAAAACCTTTCGTTGCACTTTGCCTATTTGGAAGTCTCTCTGAGTTCTTCTTTAACCGTTAGGACTCACACTTTAAATTTCTCTTCTTACACTTCCTAGCCTCATTCTAGAGGAATTCAGAGAGTTTTTGTTGTGATAGCCTGAAATCTGAAACTTCCCGAAATGCAGGTAAAATCTCTTAACAAACTCCTCAAACAAGTTGTTATTCTCGTTCATTAGTCTTATGGCCTACTTTTCAGCCATCACTACTATCTGATTAATTTCAGGCTTCTCATAGTTGGGAAAGATAATAAAGAAAACTTTCTTAGGGTCTCTTGATATCTCCACTAAAAAGATTTAGTGATCAATCTAATGGAAATTTCTGTATAATACTTGTCTAGTTTAATCTATTGCATAATCATTGTAGCCAAGTGCCATTGGAGGAGGCCTTTTATTAGCAATTAAATTTGGATTTTTAAAACCCATTTAATTGTTCGAGCCTACTATAAAGTTGTTTATTTGTTGAGAATTCTACTGAGTTTAAAAGGTTTGACCTTATGAGGGGTTATTAGGAATTTATTAATTCAAAGTGTTTGATTTCAAGAGTAATTGCTACTAATCAAATGATGTTTCGTTTCCTATTGTATCTGGTGCAGTCTAATTTAAGTCTTTTAATTTACTTGATCTCTCAACCTACTGTGAAAATATATCTCTTTTTATATCTTAATGAGCAATCATTAGCTAATTTGTCTGGTAATTTTCAATTCCATATTTCTACTTTATCTAATTATCAGCTCCTTTCGTTTCGTCTATTTAAATATTAGTTATCCCCTCTTGATTCTCTTCCTAATCTTTATAGGGAGAATCTTAATTCTCATCACCCAGAGGATTACCAGAATTATTCATCTGATCCTAATACATGTTATAGATTGTTTAATTGGGATCTTCAGTGTAGATATTTCTTCGCTTGCTTCTATGTCTGATCTTTTTTATCATAGTAGGAGGATAATAGCAAATTTGCTTAATAATCTTTATCTTTTTCTTTCTATCTTGCTTCCATTCCTAAGTGTTGTAATAAGATTTCTAGTCCTAAAGCCTTCTCAAAATACTGCTGTTTTCATTTGAGATGCGATCAGTTTCTCTTCTCCTCACAGTTCGGTTTAGTGATTTTGATCTATTGGCATTAACTGGAGTAGTTAGATCATGAACTAAGCCTTAAGAGATGGGATTATTTACCCTTTTAACTGATAGATACTAATTCGATATAACACTTTGATTTTAGGGTGGATGAGCACTCATTATCGAAGCCATTCTCTCTAGCAGTATTCTATTTGCTTTCTCAATTTCAGTACAACGCTCTGTTAAATACATTATTTTGAATAAACTTGAAAGTAGAAACGAATATAAAACAGATATCTTAACTTTTAACTAACTTACCTTCTATAATCATTTCCCTTTTAGTTTTCACAATAGGATATTTCAAACTTATAGGAACTTAATTATCAATCACAGGTTTTGTTTATGATATATTTTATCTATGAAGTCTTTTGTTGTAGTCTAGCCACTTTTTGTTGAGCACTCGATTATATTCTGGCAACGCTCGATCCATTTTGATTATTATGAATTTAATTCTTCTTCCTCTCTATTTTTATTTGATGGGGTTTTGGGGTTTTGGGG